TCGGTTTTAATTTCTATGATACACAAAAAATGATAGAGTTCCAGGTTATTATTAATAGCTGTGATAATATACGTAAATAAGGAATTTCAGTTTGATAATGAAAACATAATTTTAAAAGGAAGCAATTTCCTGATTTAGCCAGATGTTAGGAAAAACCAGCTTATGATTTAATTAATAGTGCTAAAACAGTTTTGGTAATGAGATCATTACTGGTACCTTAAAGGTTGGACGGGAACCTGAGCACCTCAAGCATAGCAAGGAGGTATCCATGTCAACCCTGCGAGCGGGACCCCCCCCCCCTACATGAAACCCCCAAAAGGCACCGCAAAACCAAAGAAATAAAAAAGAAAAAACAAAACAAAAACAAAAAAAACCAACACCCAACCCCCCCCCCCCCCCACAACAAAAAAAAACACACACACAACCACCAACACAAACATAACAACCAAGACAAAAAAACAAAACACCATTAAAAACACCAAATAAAACCTTGGCACCCGCGAGACGGGCCCCCCCCCCCCCCCCACGCGCCCCCCAAACGCACCCCCACCCACGAAAAGACTATATTGTAAAAACCCCACCCACCCCACCCCTCCCCAACACCCCCCCCCCCCCCCCCCAAAAAAAAAAAAAAAAAAAAAAAGGCGGGAGGGAAAGGGAAGGGCTGGGAACCGGAATCCGCAAAGATCCGCTTAAATAACAGGTCCGCAAAGATCAGCTCAAAAATGCCAGCATGAGATGCAACGTAAGTCACAAGATAAGCAAAAGGCCCCTGCGATCACCCCACAGACCACGTACGCTTGAGGATGAGACCGCTGACCGCATTGGCTTGCAATTAAACTTTGCCTAAATTACATTTAGCCACATCTGTATCAACAAGAATAATGTTCAATAAAAAACTTTCTGCTAATAGCCTTTTCAATTAAGTTTTTGTTCATTCACTTCGTTTCAATTGAAAATACGGGTAGGTAGAAGGTAGATCATTGCAGAGTCATCGCAATTGCAGACATCCGTGCGAGGCGGTGCTGTAATTCCTTGGGTAGTTAACTATGGTAGTACTTGCAAAAAAAACCTTCCAATCATCCTCGGTGAGAAAATTGAATTTTCTGTTATAGATCTATGCTATGCTACGTCCAGTTGATTCATATCCCATCGACTTTTCTTACATGACAGGATTTGACAAGTCAAGCAAAGAGTTTAGCACTGATGGAGTCACTCTGAGTGTTAAGGCTAGGCCTCAGTTCTTTGATGAATAGCTTCTCGTAAACGAGGCACTCAAATTTCCCGTGGCATTTCTTGAGAACGCGAAATTGGCCCTCATTGAGAGAATTTTTGTCACCGTGCGCTTCTAACAAATGTTTACCGATAGCTGAATACTTTCGTTCGGCAATGTATTGATGAAGGTGTCGAGCTGTGTAGCCAAGATAATCTGCAGCTTGACTTGTAACATATTTTTATGTTACTTTTCTTTTAATGAACTATTGTTTTTCTTGTATTCAAGTTTATAGAGCATTCATCTTGTATTTCTTTCACTTGATAATGACGTCCGGTAACGTCGAAACGTCGTGTATTTTTTAACTTCTTAAAAATTTCTTAAATGTTTTTAAGAAAAGTTTTTCGCATTTTTTAATAGCTAAATAGTGTTTAGTGTTTCAATAAAGAGAGGGCTGATCAGACGCTCAAGGAGCAGAGAGAAATGACAGAACGGGGAACTCACGTGGACAGAGTGAAAAGGTGGCCATAAAGCTCGCCGACTTCGAGCAGTCCTGCCAGGAAGAAGTCCACATTTAACTCTCGTCCAAGTGTTCCGCCGAGATCTTTGTTGAGACAGAAAAAAAATGTGTTACCGCTAAAACTTCAAGTCAACGACGAGTTAGTGGTCCCTGGCAAACCCAAGAGAATTACTTCTTCCATCGAGGTGAGAAAAATTGATATCGCTTTGAACAAACTTATAAGCTTACGGCTATGAATAATTTCCAAGTTTTTTCGCGGCGAATTGAGCGGCAATAATTTTTGTGTTTGCAAGTTTGGCATGATCTTTGAGCTCTTTTATGTGTGAATCAATTAAGGCGGTCAACGGGCAAACAAGAACTGGACGGCCGCTTTGGGATAGTTGAAGCTTCGATCGTGCAAATATGCGCATACTCTCGGAACAATTTGAAAGACCAAAGACTTCCTGTTGGAAGCACCGCAAACACATCTTTTCGCTTGATGAAGTGGAGCAAGGCTTCTTCCTGGACAGGTTTCAACTCAAGAATATTGGAAAACCACCATCCAACGCAAATTGTACTGCACCTCGAAAGGCTCGCTCGAATTCGCTGCCATCGTTCGCCTTTTTCTTTGTTTGAAGTTTCTTCGAGCCAAAAAACCGGTTTTTAGGGCTCCTGGGGAGCATTTCAGAGATTCGGCCGACGAGAGTTCTTGTTAGATCATTATCACTCGGAAAGGTCTGGGACTAAATTCGAACACCAATCAGCGACCGAGTTCAAAATCTGTACTCATGGAAGTGAGGTTCGTATCGTCACGATCGCGGATTCGCCGCTCAATTTTCGCACCAAACAACAGGAAAAAAACCCTCTGGTACCCAGGGTAGCCAAATCTGTGCTAGATTTGCAAAAAATTCAGATGTTTTCCAAAAAGGCAACTGAACTTTGGCTAGCAAAGTTAAGAGTTTGTCGGTAGAATAAACGACAACTCTTATATACAGATTTTTTTTCGGCGAAGATGAAGAAATCTCGAGTGTGGCTAAAGCGTAAACAGACGCATACATCTTAAAAACACCTGAAGTCTTAACAGATCCTTAATTGAAACGGGGTAAGAAATAAAACAGCGTTCATGACATCTATCTAAAGAGTTCTGTAGAATATTAAGATCAGGTTCAGAAGCTCCATATACGGGTAAACCATAGATAAAATTAGGCAAAACTAAGGAAGTCAACAAGTGATCTATTTCAGCTGTGAATATTACTCTTTTCTAAGGGTCCTTAGAACATGGAGAAATTTGTTTGCTTTAATTAATTTGAGATTAACATGCGCCCGAAATTTACAGTCACTCTGGATCGTAACCTCCAAAGCCCGGTTCCTAGAAAGATGGTTAAGCTAAGAGCATGTAACTAAAGCTTACAAAACTAATACTGTTGAGCCTTTACTCTGAGACACAGTGATGATTTACCGACAAAAAATGTTGCTATCAGCAATGCATATTAACGTAAATACAAAAAGTGGAACAAAATTCTGATCTTGGACTAGCACTAATCGGCCTTTCAGGAACCGGGCCCTGCAGTAGAACAAGACTACAGCATTGAGGAATGTCAAATACCGAGTTACATTGAGAACTGTTGCCTTCACTTCTAAAGACAAGACGCTACGGAGCGTAAACTTCGGCGTCGTGATTGTGGATTAATTGTGAATGTGGAGGAATAGTAAGAAATGATCTTTTTCCGGATACCCTTCCGTACAAATACCATTACTTTTCTTCTTTTGTGTTTCAAACGTCTTAACTCTTTCACCGGAAGCAAGTTTGCTAGGTGCATGACCGCGTGCCTGTAATTCAATTCGATTATAATTTCAAGCAACTTCGGGACCTCCGGATGCTACTCTGAAATATTCCTGCGCTGCGCGAATCCTTTACTTCGCGCTCCGCCGAAGTAATAAGTTCTTTACACTTTTTCAGATTGTAAGATATGTTGTTCTCTTTAGACCATGTCATGAATTGTCCCACAAGATAAGCTGACGGATCACATCGATTACTATCAGGAGACACTATTCTAGAGTCATTCCCATATTTAAATGGAGCAGGAGCATTGTTGTAAGAAATTTCTAGGTCATTCAAAAATATGTTAAATAGAAAAGGCCCGCTTGCGCTTCCTTGAGTGGTTCCCTTGTCAACGACCTCCCAGTTCAGAGGTCATTATTATAAAAGATTTGCTGTTGCCTAGCAAACAAGAAGCTATGGTTCCCATTAACGATGTAAGGATTGAGGGAGAGTTGCTCTAAAAAAGAGCTAGAAAAAGTACTTTGAGGGGGATTTCGGGTCTGAAAATTTCATTTGCCCCTAACTACATGGAATGAATAGATTAAACTTGGCACTTTATTAGGAAAGGACCAGCCCAGAAATGTAAATATTCCTACAAAGTTTGGTGCTTGTATCCAAAATCGCATATTTCTGAAGCTAAACCGCCGGACTATAACACATCGGGAATCGTTCAGATGGGATAATAAAGGCAACTCTGTACCTTAATGGCAGCTTTCTCCGCGGTAGCTATCAATGTTGCATGACGAACTGAAAAAAACATGCTGTATTTTAAAACAAAGAACTCTAATAAGTAGTACTGAAAAGCATTCAGGAGTTCTTATACCTGATGAACTAAAAAAATTGAAAAGGTTGAATCTTTTTTTCTTCTTTTAGAATACATGATGATAATAGTGGCTTATAGAAAAAAGTACACCAAACCAGAAATGACAACAACCCGTTTCAATAATTGTTTACAATCTTCAGCTACAAGGAGATCAAGAAGAGAAGTCAACCCGTAAAATTTCATTTTCTGATAGACATTTCTACTCGCCTCAAACAGCTTTGGCCGTAAATGACTACTTTTGCAATTTTTCCTAGATGTTAATTGTGGATATTTCGTTTTTCTCTCGCAGTTCTTTCTAACTACACCATAAGGGTATGTAATAAAAGGCGAAAAACATTAAGGTTTTTTACAAGCGATTAGAGACGCTCATTGATTTTAACTCAAAAAAATCGTGCAAAGATTAGAGAATTTGAAATCTTTGCGTACTAGCAAGGCCGTGACTTTCATTTTTGTTTAAACTGCGTGTGACCTTTTGCTATTTTGGGAATCCCAAGTTTACATTTCCATTTATAACTTCCGGTGATAAATGGAAATAAATACAACCATCGTGGAGCGCAAATTCAAATTTATCTTGCAGTCGCCTATTAAAGTAGGAAAGCCAAGCTAAACGTTCAACGGTTCAAGTCAAAGAAAACCTGCCAAGATGTCGTCACCAGTAATGGAAGTTGTCAGAGAAACAAAAGAGGTACGAAAGAATTAACTACAGCAAATGAGCGAGCTTTTAAAATTCCTCCCCACCTGCTTCACGTTGAGTAACAATCACTAGGTATTAGACGAGGGTCTCAATAGGGGTGGTACCTTTGACAGCTCACGCCATTAATTTTTTCCAATTTTGACGGTTGACGGTCGAATTTTAGAGCTTTTGACGTTTGTCGGTTATTCTGTGGAAATCTAGTCCAAGAATTTAAATAAACAGTTCTGCATAAATCAATATCAACTGTCGTGTGTTAGAGGTTTGTTTGGCCTTTCACCCTTAAAACGTCGAAGTACCAGATGTAAGGTCTTGTAATGTATGGAGGGAGTGTATTTGAAAACATGGGAAGTAGTTTTTCTAGTTTATAGATTCTTCAGATCAGCTGAAATAGTGAGTTGAAAAACCTTGAAACTTTTTACGGTTAATATATATCTGCAGTTTTAACAGTTGACATCAAAAGAAGCGGAGAAGAAAAATTAGAAATATTAAGGAAACAAACAAGCACCTGGGAAATGAATCCATATATGCTTTGTATTTTGAATTTAGATACGTTATCTTTCTTTTCTCAACAGATGGAACTCACCTGGGCCGAGAGCATGGAATGTAAAGTCATAATGGCGAATGTTCGACAATACGCAGGAGGAGCTTATTTAAAAGCTGTTACAAAGAAGGGTCATGAACGGGAAGCAAAGATAACTGTGGAATTTACGGGGAACGCTTATGAGGAAACAACAGGTAATTTGAAAATATGGACACACGAGTAAGACGTCAAGTTAATGCACGCGCTTCCTTTCTATGGTTTTTTCGTGCATATTCAGTGTTATTTCAATCTTCATGCACCGTTTCATTTGATAGTAAAGGAAGGCAGCGTCAAAATGTCTTTATTTGGGTCAAAGTTTATAGTTTTTGTCTTTGGTAACAAAATTTAATGAAGTAAATCACGATGACAAAAAAGCCAGTAAGTTTAGTAAGGGATGCGAAACTTATTGTTCTCGCGACAATGAATTTTCCCGCCAAAAATATCACTAAAGTAAGAGCTTCCTTTGTTTTGACCAACTTTGTCGACCTTCATTGTAACAAGATGACGCAAACGACTATGTAGAGGAATGAAAACATTTTGTCATACGAATCTGCTCCACAATATCTTATAATAAGAATGCGTCCTTTTCTTAAGGAGGGATTGGGTATCCATTCAGTGCATGGGAAAATTTGATCCAGTTCTAGGCAATTCAGCAAAGAGTACTGTGCTAGCGGTCACTACGCTATCTCTCGATGTTTTTGTATCAGAAATCAAACGAGTGAGATTCATGACGTGCGTATTAGTAAGAACCGGCTTTTATAATTGAAGCATATTAATTCTATACTTATGTATCAGATATAATCACCAGCCGGTGGCTAAAATGTACACTGTTGTATACCCATGTATTTCAGAATTCTATATTGGGCAGCATGACATGCCAGGATACAACACCTTCTCGTGCTATATAGAGGGCCAACAGTATTTCCTGTGTGCAGAGAATAACGAAGTGTTTCTGATGGTAAGTAAATGAATACGAGTTATTTTAAGTAAAATGACTTACATTTAGCTACATTTCAAGGTGGAAGTTAAGTTTAGTTCATCTTACGCATACCCCAACCGGTTTTACGGTTAATGATGGAGTAATTTTCTGTAAACCTTGTATTTTTTAGCGTTTACAACTGAAAAAAGTTCCCCCACA